TATATATATATTGATCTAAGAATATTTAAATTTACATCACGAATTTCTTCCCACTCTTAAAAATAAGATCTTAATCTCTTTGAAGATATGTATTCCAAGCATATTTTGTGATTACCATTTGAGATATATATATATATATATATATATATATATGTATACGTACAGGGTGTTTAAAGTTTATTGAACCAAACACAGTCTCGGTGTATTCTATGCACGAAAATAATAGCATAAGTATTATATAAATATAGATCATTTAATATTACATTCAAAAGTTATGATGTAAATGATAAATGTTCACGTTCGGGGTAATTGTCTTTAAATTTTTAATCGTTTATGTTTATTTATTCTTATCTTTATCTCTGTTGTTTTTATTATTCCCAAATGATTTTGGTAATCCCAATCGATATCAGTTCTCTTTAAGTTTACTCTTCAGGATACTAATGACCTAAACTGTCGAAAGTATTTTTATATAAAGAATATGGAAACTTTTATTACATGTATAATTCATGCAAAGTGAAATTAGATGATTGTGTCATAACTTTTGAATTAAGTTTTAAATGAGATCTATAATTTGTATATGACATTTTTATTTGGAATTTTTTGTACATTGAAAAAGACCGATAAAAAAATCTCAGACACCCTGTATATATCGCTCGATCAGATATAAATAATTGAAATGAAAAAAAAACCTATTCGCAATTAGAAAGTGATCCTTCCCTTTCTCCCGTGCAATTCTTTTTTTAAATCAGTAATCAAGTAATTTATAAAATCAGTGTTTATATTTCATCGTTCTCATCTTGATATTAATTTCATTCGTAAGATATGTTATTTTTTGTATAAAAAGAGGAGAAAGAAGGAAAAAAAAGGATAATCGAATATTATTATATAAATTAAAAATCGATTTAATCACAACTTAGATTACGATACGATAATGGAAAATGCGTTATGTATAGTCAGGTATATAAAATGTATAATATATATAAATTATATAATTTATATATATAATTT